TTTTCAGGGAAAAAATTGTCACACTGCTCATGTGGAGGGCTCAAAAACTCATGTATCACATATTTAAAAAGACATACATTCAAAGGAGATCTGCTTTCAAACCGTATATACTCTGTTTTTTAATTTGATTTAGTTGAATGTATCAATGTTTAAATTCTAACTTAATCTTTTCAATGGAATTGTTTTTCAATCACCATTCATTACCTCATCATCATTTCTTTAGTCTCTCTGGGATCTCACCTCAGTCAGTCAGTACCTGCACCATCCTATGATGACATTTTCCATTTTTTCCAGTTTAGTCTCATGTTTGCGCCACAGATTAGTATTTTAGTATGTTAGGGTTTCAGTACACATTTGTCTTAATTAAAACCACAGCTCATTTGGCTGTACCTGTAAACTTAATTTCAGTCTCTACACAATATGAAATGAGGGAGTAAGGAGACAGAGTACATCCATCATTATTCCGCTCACACACAGTGGACAGAAGTAAGCACAGTCTCTGCTGTGTGACTCACTTTTTCCCTCTTCCCTTTTGCTGTCCCCCCTCTGTCAGTATCTCCCTACTCCTCTCTGTCCTCCTTCTCCCTGTCACTCATTATTCTTCTTTTTTTAATACTTTAGATGATGCTAGATGTTGCATGCATGGTCCTGTCTGCAGTGTTGCTTTTTGCTGTTCTATTGGCCAAGACTGTTGAAGAAGAAATGACCTTTTCCTGGTCCAAGAAACGTTAATTAGGGATGCACGATAGGGCGATACAATTACCTGCTCCTCATTGCTGATACAATAAAATAACCAATAATTTCACATTTTTGTATTAAGAAGTTGATAACCTGTAGTTTTTACACACTTGATGATAAGAAAGGTGAGGTGAAGAAAGCAAAGACAACTATTTAATATTCTATAGCTCTGTTCAAACCAAATCTTACTGACATCGCTATTGTTAACAACCACAACAACAAACAACAGTTCTTAATTGTTGTTTTATTAAGAAACTTAATTTATTTTTCATAGTAAAGTTCATCAAAAACATCACAAACATACTTTGGCTTTCATCAAATAAAAAGGCTATCAATTGTTTGACATAACAATCCAAAATAAATAATTAATATTATGGGCCGGTAACAAACAAACACATAAATAAACCCTGTCATTTCCACGCAGGCTGCATTTCTTTGCTTCCCAAAACAAAGTCTGCAATAACCTAAATATTAGATCATAAATCAAACTTCTGCGTCAGTACTTTACCAAAAAATTTAAAGTATTCCCCACACATATTTCTCTAAATCTCATAAATGGAGCAAATGGAATTGCTCAAGAATTACATTAATAGGCATTATTACACATAGAGTATACCTTTGGAAAAAACAAAGAAGATCAGGGCAGGTCAACACTATTAGAAACCAGTTTAACCAGTGATTTACTTTAACTAAAACTGAAACTAAAAACACATTATAACCAAAGAACATTCTGTAGTGCTTTCTGATGCATTTAGAAACCGAAGACATACTGTATGTACATTCAATTCAATTCAATAATTAATAACAGAAGTTATCTCAGGACACTTTTCAAATAGAGCAGGTCTAGACCGAACTCCTTATAACATATACATGAAAGGTAACTTACATTTTGACCAAAGCCAGGGGTCTTTGGTTCTTTAGCCCCTCTCCAGTGGCTCACCGTGGCTTTGAAAATTATAAGTGAATAACATCTATTTTTTCGGGTGACATTGTTGTCGGCCTAAAGTGATTCCTATGTTCTTCAACTGTAAAAATGTGTCGCCAATACACATCAAATAAAAAAAATGTTTCATCAACTAAACTAAACAATTTTATTATTTGACACACAGTAAAGCAGCAAGGACTCAGCCTTGCTACATGGGGTGCCAGCGTTACCAGATGAGCCTCAAGCAGGTCCCCTTTCTCTATATCTATCTTTTTCATGATCGTCATCGATCATTACTGTTAATGTAGTTGTTGCTTCTGTTGTTGCTGTACATCTGTTTGTCTCTCTGTCTCTCTCTCTCTCTCTGTCTCTCTCTCTCTGTCTCTCTCTCTTTCTCCCCCAACTGGTCAAGGCTCCTTCTTGATCTTCTTCTCTCTTTCTCTTCTCCCCAACTGGTCAAGGCAGATGACCACCCACCTAGAGCCGAAGGGTCTGTCCGAGGTTCTCTGCCCGTTAAAAGCGCAGTTTTTCCTTGCCCCCGTCGCCCAAAGTCGCTTGCTCATCCTGGGTGGTAGCTTGTTCGGCGTCTGTCTGTTAAAACTGCTTTAAGGGCCCAGTTTCTCCATATTCGGGTACTAATGGCTACTATTTGAAAAGTGTCTTCTGAGAATCTCAACTTCTGCTTATCGAATTTGTCTGGGCCCGGCTATACTAACATTGTATTAATATTGAAATTGAATTTTGAATTGAAAATTAACCGGTGTCACTGTTCATACTTTGTGATGCGATCTGGGAAAACCCGTCGGATGTCGCGCTGGCACGTTTCGAGGAAATAGTAAAAAATAGGTCGACTGTCATTTCTTTGGCAAAATTGGGTTTTCATTAAATTATTATTATATAACATCTTGTCTATAATTCCTGAAAATATCTAAGTGAAATTCGCTAGTTTTATACATTAAAAATTAATTTATATTGGCCAAGCTGTCTAAAAGACGATCCTACATTTGAAACCGCGAACGGCGGAGGTGCATAAAAATCTCCCATAACGTGCTTTGCCTAGGCTATCAACACTACAAAGACGGTTCACCAATCAAAGCTAAACCACATGAATGAAGTCATATCATATCAATACATTTTCCCGCCAGATATATATTGTAACACTGTGATAACGTTAACGTTACGTGAGGATGTGAGAGTCTACAGAGATGGCGGAGCTCAAGAGAAGGGAGTCTGAGGTAGCTGCTCACTTAAATGATGCTGCTCGTCTCAATTTGCTCAATCCTGGCGATGCCAATGCCCTGAACGACGTGATCATGGATTATTTCACATCCAGGGATCCAAGAGATGATGAAGGATCGGATTATAATGAATTTACCGAACAAGAGGAGTCCGATGAAGGTAAGCTAGCCATGCTATTCTTAATGTAAGATACAAGGTGCACTTGCTATTTTAAATGACCAATGTGTAAGACTAGCCTTGTTATCAAAAATCTACAAGGATAACGTTACGATTAAAACATCCAGAGACCGCACCAGTAATAAAACAACAATAAAACAACAACAATTTACTTAATTTTAAAATGCCATCCCCCTCAGGTAACTTATCTCCTTGTGTAATGATAACCGTGATGTAGGTTAGTCTAGTGCTATTCCTGACAGGCTAGAAAGTTCCCTGGAATATCTCGTTCGTTCAGAGTAACTTTATCCATTACCATTTTCCCGTTATACATTTCTTTTGAACGGCGACACGAAGGCTTAAAACTTTAAATTAAAGCCACAAACTATGACTGTTTATGTATGTAAGTTCAGCTGACGTGAGTTTAAAACGGAGACTTAACGTTAATGTTAATGTTCGAGATGCAGACTGTAGCATTAACGTCAGGTTAATAGACTTGGTGATGTTCATGATCAGTGACCCTATTAGATTATTATTAGATATTATTATTATTATTATGAAGCTCACACAGACTGAGCAGCAACGTTGAATTATTGTCCCAGTCCGCCCCTGTTCATGATTGCTCCATGCTAGTGACATTCAAGGCTGTAGTAGCCTTCCATTACAGATGGTGAAGACGGTTTCTTCACTCTGTGACATATTTTGCAATTTAAACGTAATACATATAAATCTTATTTTGGGAGAGACATGTTGGATTGAGCCAGATCTGATTGCTTCTTGTCAGCGTGCTGTGCAAGCCTGCACGTAACATGTTAATTTTTTTTAATAGTAGGCTACACCTTAACATAATGTTAACGTTTTGGTCACACCTTGTCAAACAACATAATCTAATCATGATGATGATGATGATTTTGCGTAATAATAGTAATACTACTATAGTAGTAGCCTATGTCTTATGGGCATAGACATATTGCAATGGTGAAATACTTGTGTGATGGATTGTCAATGTTGATTATTAGTAATAATGAAGTTCAGCCTTTTTTATATAATACATATGTCTTACAGTTATTCATTCTTCCTCATTTCAGATGATGACCATCCCATATCGATGATTGAAGATGTAGCAGAGATACTACCACCAGTTTACTTCAAGAAGATAATGGTGATGATGTGCAAGAGTTTGTATGTGCATGCAAATACAACAATGGTCATCCATGTTCAACACGTTTCATGCAAGAGGAGCTGCAGATGATTCGTTACTGTTTCCTGGAAATGACAAGGGAAGAGCTAGATATCGCCATTTTAGCCAAACTCTCGTGTGGAATGCATCTTTCTCAGCTAACATCCCGCACCCATAAAAAAGAACAGACAGTTCGGAAGTCCCAAAGAACTGATTTCTTTCACCATGGGGAGAAAATATGCAGGGATACTTTTAAATATCTCCATGCCATTGGCCAGGTCAAGCTAGATGCTCTCATTAAGCATTATAAGGAGCATGGTGTTACTCCTCGAATGCATGGCAACAAAAAGCGTCAGCCTCCTAATGCACTGAAGAAAGAGGACAATATGTATGTTGCACATTTCATCATAAACTATGCTGAAACTCATGGCATGCATCTTCCAGGGAGGGTACCAGGCTTTTGGAGGAGTGATTTGAAACTTCTTCCAACTAACTGTACGAAGGTGAAGGTGTACTCCGATTACTGTGTGGCAGTTGCTGCAGCGAATCAGCGTGTGGTTTCTGTAGTTACATTTCGTCGTATCTGGCGGGAAGTGGTGCCATTTGTTGTCACAATGCGGCCAGCAACTGACCTGTGTTGGACATGTCAAAAATATCAAAAACGCATTAGTGAGGCTGCCAATAAGGCTGATTCAGAGAAGGCAGAGCTGCATCGTCTGGCCACTGAACATCTAGAGAAAGCTAGAGTAGAACGTACACACTATCAGCAACTTTGTAAGGATTCAAAAGCAAACTTGCCTGCTGGGTTAGAGTTAGGTCCACACATTCCTTGTAGTTATGAGGGAATGGTACATTATAGCATGGACTTTGCACAACAGATTCACTACCCCAATGATCCCCTCCAACCAGGGCCGATGTATTTCAAAACACCACGTAAGTGTGGAGTTTTTGGTGTAGCATGTGAGGCCTTGCCAAAGCAGGTTACTTTCTTGTTGGATGAATCCATACAGACTGGTAAAGGTAGCAACTGTGTTATTAGCCCTATTTACACTCATATCTTGAGAATTATGGACTGGGTGAAATGCACATGCACCTTCATGCAGATAACTGTGCGGGACAAAAACAAGAACTCTTTTGTGATGTGGTATCTGTTGTGGCGTGTCTTGACAGGTCGTCATGTGTCAATCAAAATGAGTTTCCTTCTTGCTGGGCACACAAAGTTTTCCTGTGACTGGTGCTTTGGGCTCTTTAAAAGAAATTTTAGGAGGAATAAGGTTGACTGTTTGGATGACATTGCCCAAGTAGTTCAAAACTCAAGTCCATCTGGAGTCAATGTACCATGTCTTTGTGGTAGAGAGGATGGCACTGTTCTTGTACCTATGTATGACTGGAGCACATTCTTGGGTACATACTTCAGAAAATTACCCACCATTAAAAGCTTTCATCATTTCTTATTCTGTCAGGGCTCCACATTGGTAAGAATGAAAAAATTCCTTAATAGTGTGGAAGTTTCCCAAGACTTAGGGAGAAATGGTGTCGACTTTGATGCACTTGACCCAAGTGCTTTGCCTGATCAACTCCTCCCAAAGGGGCTTGATGCTAAAAGGCAACAGTATCTTTACAATGAGATAAGGGAATTTGTGACAAAAGACAAGCAGGACTTGGTTTGCCCCCTCCCTCAGGCTGTAAACATGAATGAGGATTAATTCAGTGATTCTGGGGACAGTCATTGTATTATAGTCTTGAATACAAGGGTTGTATCTATAGTTAGTGTTGTTACTCAACTTTTCCATTTGAATTTACAATAAGTCATGATATACTGCATATTTCAGATATTTTCTGCATAGTTATACTGCATATTCTTTTATATTTTTCAGGATATTTATACTGCATGATTTGATGATATTCTGAATAATAGCAGAACAATAATTACATTGAATATTGTTACTCAACTTTTCCATTTGAATTTACAATAAGTCATGATATACTGCATATTTTTATATTTTCTGTATATATACTGCATATTTCACATATTTTCTGCATAGTTATACTGCATGATTTGATGATACTCTGCATAATAGCAAAACAATAATTACATTGAATAGCCTATGTGTTGTTACCTCAACTTTTCCATTTTGAATTTACAATAAGTCATGATATACTGCATATTTTTGATATTTTCTGTATTTATACTGCATATTCTTTATATTTTCTGCATATTTATACTGCATGATTTGATAATATACTGCATAATAACAGAATAATACTGAGAGAAAAAGTTACGTAAAAATTCAATTCATTGAATGTTGAATGAATAAATACATTCTTGATTTTCATCTAATTCATGAGTGTTGTGTGTTTGCTTGGTGCCAAAGTAACAATTTTGTATCTTTTACAACATATACAGTGACTAAAATAAGTCTGTGCCATAATAGAGTAATGAAAATTTAACCTGTGATATTTGATTGTTAAACTGTTCTATTTAGAATGTCTATCTTTAAACCTGTTTTTCTCAAAATTCCGTTTCATAAAACCATGTTAATAAGCTGACTTTAGATAATAATAACATTTGTTACAGACATGCTATGAAAAAAGGGAAAACAGATTTGAAAAGAGCTTGAAAGCAGCTTTACGGTGGTATCAGAATCTTAAGTTGGTAAAATTTTACCATGTGATGGGTTTTCCCAGATCGCATCAC